TCTATGTTCTGAATACTCAAAATTTATTTTGTGAGTCTTAAGCTCAGGGGGAGACTCTGAACAAGCTTAAATGAAATTTTTGGATGAACAGATTCAGGGGGAGCTAGGAGCTTACTCTGAATTTGTCGATTACTGTGATTACCATGTATAAATTATTCCATCAAAATACATGGTTTTGTCATCATCAAAAAGGGGGAGACTTTAAGAACAAGATGTGTTTCTACATCTGGCCTTAAGATTTTGATAATAATTTTACATGTTATCTTAGTGAACAATTGTATAGAATAATGTTTTAGTTCTAGTGTGTAGTTACTGCTATAATGTTCTGACTCTGGTATCAAGGCATGTGACATCACGAGGTTATAAACATACACTACTGGAAGAAAACATGTGGTTACATGTTACAGTTGAAGTCAAGATTCTGAATTCATCTTCTGTAACGTGTCTAAGGAACCTTAGTACAAGAGGTTCTGATTATGACTTTATGGTTAAGCTTTGGAGGCCTTCTAAAGCTTTGCTTCTATGTGTTACAACTTCTGAAGATTATGAAGACGGGGTTCTGCTCAATAAGTTCTGATGATCTGAAGAAAAGGAAGTTCTTATGACCAAGTGCTGAAGACTCTGAAGACAAGGTTCTGATAGGACAAGTTTTGAAGACTCCAAGACTTAGGTTCTAAGACTTAAGAGTGATTCTTCTACAACAAGCTTCAACAATCAAATTATCTGAAGCCTATGAAGATAAGAAGAAAGTTCTAATGGTTAATGTGTGATGGTGTACAAAAGGTACATAAAGTGTCTGTGACCTCTACCCTCTAGGGTGACGTAAGGACAATCCTTTGTATTGTATTGTCAACCACTCTCATTGTGACCGTTGGGAACAAACGACTGGATTTCCAACTATCTTTCTTTAATTAATGGATCTCTGTTTACAAGATTATTAGAAAAACATTATTTCGAGAAAATGTGGAAAGCTATCATTAGACAATGGGAAATACAGAAAATATTATTTTATACTATCTAAACTCTTACACCTTATTCTATCCATTGGGAACTAACCATTGGTGCAAGAAAATACTTTTCTATTCTCACAACGTCTCTCTCTTTTTAGGATATAAAAGAAGATTATATTTAAAGAAGAACGCCGCCGTTGGACATCAAGCTAAAGTGCTGTGGATGTTGAAGATTTTAAAGGTGCAATGCTACACATTCTAAATACCACCATATAAGGGAGAAAAGAAAGAAAGAAGAGAAAGAAAATTTCAAAAAGATGTCATTTAACTTATAATGATATACATCTTGGATGAAACAGAATAAGCAAGTAGTTATTGCTCGTAGCTTGCTCAACATAGAAGAAGATTCTACAAGATGCTAACCAACTATCATCATATACATCTTGGTAGATCTCAGAAGAAGCAAGGAGTTGTTGCTCTAAACTTGCTCAATAAGAAGATGAAGAAGAAGAACACTACAATATGATACTCAACTTATGATCATATACATCTTTGTAGAATATTGTAATGAACACAAGAGTTGTTGCTTGTATTGTGTTTCAGTTCGAATCTTTTCATGTACATTATTTTAACACTAGAGTTGTTGCTCAAAAATGTGTTAAATAATATATGCTTAAATCTTTTGTGTAATCTGCTTAGAAGAAGCAAACATGTAAACACAGAAACCATATTAACTATTGTTAATTGATTCCTTGAGAGACTGAGTGAAAGTCTGATCTCAAGAAGACAATGGTTGATGGCATTGTGGGAAATATTAATAGATGATCTTGAGGGATTGCATAAAATAAAAACTAAATAAAAACTAAATAGTAAATATTGGTTATGACAATATGGGCTGATGGTTTGAATTGTTTTTGGGCCCAAAATTTCATGCAAAGGAGGCCAACTGCATTGCACCTCAAAATGGGCTGCATTTTTGGAACTTTTTAAATGTGTTTGATTTTGGTTTGAAAGAGGGCCACTATGGGTGGATTCTAACCATATTTGATAGCCCTCTTCTTCCTCTATAAATACAAGACTAAGGCATGAGCAAAAGGGGACGAAAATACGTTGCCTTACCAAAGTTCCACAAAATTGCAAAAATCATAAAAGTTGTGAAATTCGAAACTGAGTTTTTCTGCCATCATCCATCCATAAAAATTGCTCAGTCGTATTCCTGAGATTCCTAGGAACTTATTCCATCCATTCCCAAGGCTTGCAACATCCTAGGTCACCGAATCCATGCATCACCAGTTGGTAAGGTTTCTTGAAATTAAAATTGCATATTCACGCCATGTAAATACCTATTGCATCTATATTTGTGTTATTAACAATCATTGTGAATGTTTTAATATGTTTCACGTGACAATCAATGCTAAAATAACAAGACACCATTCTTAGGGCACTCCTTTGCCAGGTCCTGAGTTCGACCCAAGCAAGAAACTATTTTAATTTTTTCTAACCTTTGTTTTGCAGATCCCACAGGCGTCTGGGCCCTCTTGTCATTGGGCATGGGGTTTATGTTTATTATCACCCACCTAACTATTTTTGCAATGCCTGAGCCCTCTTGCTAATAGGCCTGATACTTCTTTGGAGCGCACCCTCTATTTCATTTTGTTTGCATGTCCATTTAAATTTTCTTTATTTTGTTTTAATTAACATTTATTTTTTAATCAATTTTATTTCATTAGAATATTAAAATAAAAAAAATCATAAAAATATCAGGTTAGTCTTTTTTTAATTAAATTAACTTGGTAAATTAATTAAATAATAACTTTAACTTTTTATTTAATTTAAAAATAAATAGACCTAGGATTTAATTCATTTAATTTCTTTTATTCATAACAAAAATATAAAAAACTTAGAATTAATTTCTTTTTAAATTTCAATTTTCTTTAATAATTAACATTTTTTTTCTTTAGATCTAGATTATTTAATTAATTATCAATTAAACATTTTCTTACATAAAACAAAAACAAACAAAAAGATTTTCTTTTTTAGGGTTTAGACGTTTTTTCCATTTCGCGCGCGTTTGATATTCTACTTTATTTTCATATTAATGTACTTGCTTATGGGATGTAATATAATTAAACTAGGACTTTATATTTACTGCTTTTATTTCCCCCGTTTTTGGACTTATAATAATCTCCCTCCCCGAAGCCTTGTAATAGTTTAGGATTTATACTTCCACACTTTAAATTCCCGCACACTATTAACTGTCTAGATGCATGACTAATAGGATTGTATGGCAAGAACATAATAATCAAACGCTAGAAAACCTAACATAAGACAAAAATAATTGAATACAACACACTCTCACATATACACCTCTAGCGTATTCCTACTTTGGTTGCCTTCGGAAAACAGTCACAACTCTCGAAACGTGAGAGACTTTAGTGGCTACCCTCTGGTTTAAAAGATAAAAAATGACCCTCTCGATGTTGCCTCGATATGATCTTAAAACCCTAGGGTAGTTACTAAGGTTTCTTGCCCAATTTCCTTTGTGACTATATGACGTACCTTCGATTAGGGATGGCAAGCAGACCCAAACCCGCGGGCCCCACCCACACCCACACCCACACCCGAGTCAACGGGTGAAACCCGAATTGACTGGGTTTGGGTTCGGGTTCGGGTGCCACCCGATATTTCGGGTGTGGGTTTGGGATAACTTAAACCCGCACCCGAAACCCGAAACCACACCCGCTTATATGTTAAATTACAAAACTATCCCTAAATATATATATATATATATATATATATATATATATATATATATATATATATATATATATATATATATTTCAATAATTAAAAATAAAATGTAGGGTTTATTGTTCAGTATATCACATCTTGAGAGACAAAAAAACCAGAACAAAATTTCTCCTTCATCCTCCTCGCGACTCCCTCTGAACTCTCCTTCTCCAGCTAGCCACTCAATCTCCCTGCTACCTACCATCATCCTCGTCACCTTCCAATCCCTCACTCCCATCCGCCTACCCGCGACATACTCCCTCGTCGAACAACCAAGTAACACTGAAACCTTCCAACAACCACTATCCCCCTCAGCTTCCGCGACCATTCCCTACGAACTCCAATCAACGTCTCGCGAACCAGCCTCCCTCCACCGTAAACCCTTCCTTACATTCCGGCTTCCTCTCTTCTGTCAACATCATCATCTGCGCAACAGAAACCAGCTCGCACAATCCGCTACTACTTCTGATTCGACTCAGCACCGCCATCATTGTTGGTAAAATACTCTCACTATTTTTCTTCTTGGCTTGTGATTCTATTAATGGTAATGAGAAATTGATTTTGTTTTGGTTTTAAATGTTGTAGCTAATGGATATTATTGTTGAGATATTGGTGATTATGGTTGATTAGTATTCAAATTGATTTTGTTAGATTGTTTTGTTGATAAGGTGAAATTGTTGTTGTGATTTGTGGAAGTGTTGGTGATGATATTGTTAATTTAAGGGAGAAGTTGATTTGTTGTTCTTGGGTTATTGTTGAAGATAATTGTGTTTTGAAATTTAGAAGGATTGATGACATTGTTATGTTGCTGCTATGTTATATTTTCATGTAGGTACTAATGGTATGAGTGAATTGGTAGCATAGTTCTTGACCATAACATAATTGTTATTGAATCAATGTCTTGATACCATGCTTATATGTGTTGAACCAGAGTGAGATTTTGGTATCAATGTCACTTTATCCGTGTTGATTTTGAGTAATAGAGTTTGGTTAATATTGGTGTTTGTTCGTGAATCTTTGGTGTCGACACCATTCTATTTAATCTAAATCCGTTGAAGCTTGGTTGGTGTAAAGTTATTGAACATGTTGAATTGGAATCTTTGAACTTATTTGTCTGAGTTGGTTGCTGCCCGGATATTGCAAAGAGGTTAAAAACCTTGGCTTAATTTTGGTTTTGCTCATTTTTTAAGTTAACTTGTGGTATGAATACATATACAAGCTGGACAAAGTTTCATATAACAAACTTCACCCATACACCTCATGGATTCCAATCACGTGGGTGTTATCTATTTCTTTCCTACCTCTCTGCAAGTTCTTCATGTTTTATTTGTTTCCTTCTTTTCGACTTGAAAGATCTCCTAGAATTATGAAGGATAACAAATTTTCCTGCTCATTGTTTTTTAATAATAATTATTATTTTTCAGCGTTTACATTTGCTTGAGGAATTTCACTCAGCACATACGGAATTTCTCTTTGACCCTCTTTGCGTATGTTTTCTTTAGCATAATTCTTGAAATTCCATGTCGAGGAGTTTTGACGGATTTTGCTTTTATTTGGTAAGACCTATTTTCTACTAATATTTGTTTCTTAATTTCCCCCATTTTCTCTATGCATTATCAGGTGGCTTGGCAAAATTACTTTGGAGACTTACATTTCACAGTTTCACATTTGGTTGAGGTGTGTATGCATACTAATTAATCTTATATATTCTTTCACTATCCACTCGGCCTCAATTAATTTATAAATATGGGAGTGGGTGTCGTTTCTTCTGTTTCATTTGGATGACCAGCCATTCCCTGCATTTTATTTCTGCTATAACATCAAGAGGGCTATGTGATGTAAAAATACAGCAATTGACAATTCTGAAAGAGTTAATCTAGTTGGTTGAGATATATGCTCAAATGATTTATGTGTTATATATCATTAATGTGTTTCCTACTTTCCCGGCTTTAGATTAATGAATTGAAAATATTATGATTCCTAGTAATGATGACCCAGATCGATAGACAAAAGCCCACAGCTAAGTTTTAGATTTCTTGATCATGGTGGGTCTCAGTACTTGCTGAAGTCGGTCATGGTTGTAATTGTCATGAATAGAAAACTTCTCAGGATGTATGTTGTTCTGTGTATTTTGTTGTTTCTATAATATTTCATTGTAGATTGGATTATAAACAATTTGAAAAAATTATAATGGTTCAAAACATATGAAAGAACTATCCTTTAGTAAGATGTGTACTTATAATTTCCTCTTTGCGTACAGATCAAATGTGCCAAATGGACAGCCCAAGTGGCTTCTTTCTTTTATCCCACAGTATCCTATGCTCAACTTCATGCTTACTAGTTACTACTGCTTTATACGTCTTGGTACGGATCTTTCTTTCATTTTTTTCTTCTACTGCTAATTTGTCCTAAAAGCACGAGTTTAAATTCATTTAATACTAACTTAAGAAAGTTGTACTTTTTAATAAACAAATTTCATTTATTATTTAACTGGTGTACCTTGGACTCTTTTAGCATCTATGTTGTTTTATTTATCTTCAAGTTTCAGGAAAGATATCCTTGAAGTAGACGATTTCTGATTCTTTAAAGATCTACTTTGAAGTAGGTGATTTTTGACTTAAAGTTCTATATTGAAATAGACAATGATTTTTTTTTGTGCACTTGTGCAATTGTTGAAAGCTAGACTTTGAGGACGCATCATGTTGTTCCATGGTTGAAAGCTATACTTTCCTGCACCTGTATGAATATAGTAACAAATGGAAGCGTTGTGTGACGTGTCCAATTTTGTGGAATCTCCTCGCGTCGCACTCGGATCATAGCCCATTGCTGCTGGACTGTGAATCTTTGACAGTTGAAAAAGAGAGATATAACTTCATATTTGAAACAAAACCATGTTGTCTCGTGTAAAAACATTACTTTTAATAATAGCTTTTATCAATAATAGTTTTTATCATTTTAATTTCTTTTTTAAACTTTGTATGAATGTTAAGGTGTTTGCGATTATGAATCTTGTGGTGGTATGTTTTTTCGTGCCTTCTTAAAGTCTCATTTTCTTTTATACAATTGTTTATGAAATTTCTTGTTGTTTGTAGTAGGTAAAATGGATCAAGTGAACACAACCCCGGAACCAGAAGGAGCATCTAATCCTACACAAGAAAGTACATGTCCAACTCAGGAGGTATCTTCTAATCTGAATCCGACACCTGAACCTGATATTGGGCAACAAGAAGAAATTGATACAATTTTAGAACCTGCATTAAAGAAACTTAGAAGTAATGTGTGGCAAGAATTTAAAAAGATGAAAGTGAATGGAAAAGATAAGGCTGAATGCATCTGGTGTAAAAAACAACTTAGTGGTACTTCAAAGAATGGAACAAATCACTTGAAAGGACATCTCTTGAGTTGTATTCAAAAAAAGATCAAGACTAGAAACCATGACAAAGGACAACCATTTCTCCTACCGACTATCTCAGAAGGAAAGCAAGAGTTGGGAATTGGAACTTATGATCCAGAACATGTGAAGAAGTTGATTGCTGAAGCTATTATTATGCACGATTATCCACTATCAATTGTGGATCACATTGGTCTTAAAAGAGTCTTTGTTTCTCTCCAACCATTGTTTAAAGTTCCTACTCGAAACACAATCAAGAAGGAGGTATTGAAAGTTTATGATTTTGAGAAAAAATGTGCTATGAAGATGTTAGATAACCATGAAGGGAGAGTGGCAATTACCACAGATATGTGGACTTCAAGCAACCAAAAAAAGGGTATATGGCGGTTACGGCTCACTATATTGATGGCTCGTGGACTTTGCAGAGTCGAATCTTGAGGTAACAATGTTTATATTTTATAACTTAATTGTATCTTTTTTTTTGTTCTTAATGACAATAAGTGAAAGACTTGTTTTTTGTAAATATTATGTTAGGTTCATTTATGTTCCAGCCCCTCACACTAGTGAAAGACTTGCTGAAGCACTTGTTAATTGTTTAATGGACTGGAACATTGATTCAAAGCTTTCTACGATTACTTTAGATACTTGTAGCACAAATGACTCAATGATTAGGAAAATTAAGGATAAGTTGTCGTTGGAATGTTTAATAAGGGATGGGTCTTTGTTACATATGCGTTGTTGTGTGCACATCCTAAATTTAATTGTTCAGGAGGGGCTACAAGTGATTAAGGATGGCATAGAAAATATTCGGGATAGTGTAGGATTTTGGAGTGCTACACCTAAAAGGTATGAAAAATTTGAAGATACCGCTAGACAATTGAGAATTATTTGCACTAGAAAGTTAGCTCTAGATTGTCCAACAAGATGGAATAGCACATATAAGATGCTTGATATTGCCATAGAGTACAAGGATGTATTTATTCGGTTGAAGCAACGTGAGTCTTTGTAGACTTGTCTTCCAACTAATTCACAATGGCAATTTGCTAAAGATGTTTGTGGGTGCTTAAAATTATTTAATGAAGTAACTGAGTTGATTTCTGGTACAAAATATCCAACTGCCAACTTGTACTTTCCTAAGATTTGTAAGATTAAGTTGGCAATAGAGGAATGGAAGAAGTCCTCCAATTCAATTATTGAGATGATGGCCACAAGAATGATGGAAAAATTTCAAAATTATTGGAGTGGTGTTCATGATATGATGGGAGTTGCTGCAGTTTTGGATCCTAGGAAGAAGATGGTTGTACTTAATTTCTGGTTTCCTAAGTTGTATGGAGAAGAATCAAGTGCACAAGTTAGTAGAATCAAAGACATGTGTTATGATTTGCTCAATAATTATCAATAGATTAAACTTAGAGATGCACAACCTACTGCTCCATCCATTGGTACAACTGCTATTATTGATGACGAGGCTGAATTTGATGCATACTTTGAGACAATTGTCGTTACCGAAGACTCAAGTTCAAGTGTTAAGTATGAGTTAGATCATTATTTGAAAGAGCCAGTTATAAAAAATACTCCAGAATTTGACATTTTGAATTGGTGGAAGGTAAATGGAGTTGTGTATCCAACACTTCAAGCAATTGCAAGAGATGTGTTAGATATTCCTATCTCTACAGTAGCTTCTGAATCGGCCTTCAGTAATAGTGGTAGAATATTGAGTCCTCATCGTAGCCGACTTAACTGGACTACCGTAGAGGCTTTGATGTGTGCTAGGAGTTGGCTATGGGCTGCTGAGAATAACGGTATGTCATTGTCAAATTATTTTTACTTTCTACCTTAATTTTTTTGTTATATAATGTATTACTACTTTGGTATGTCATTGGCAAATAATATATTACTAATTTTTCTTGTTATATAATATATATAGGAATTTTTAGAGTTGCAGAAGAAATTGTTACTGTGTTGAATGAAATGGAGTCAGACGATGAAGGTATTTTGTACTTCATTTGGTGTAGAAGTTTTAAGCTTTAGTGTTTTATTTAACATCAATTTATTTGTTAATACAGCTGAGTTGATGGAAGGTTGTTTGGGTTACTGTGATCGGTGGAAATAAAACTGACTGTTTTTTAAGCTGGATCGCGTATGTCGCGGTAAGCAAGAGTCGCCACCGTCTTTTATGTTCTCCAACATGGAAAGGACAAAAGCACAGCAAAATTCCTTCTTTGAGAATGTTTCTCGGTTCGGGAGGTAGATTTATAGAAAGGGAAGGTGTTAGCACCCTTTCTATCCATGGTTATCCATGGGCTCTTAGGTACTTGCTATTATGTTTTCAAAATTTGTTTGCTTTTCAAATGTGAGTGGGTTTTGAAAAAGTTTCGTTTGAAAAATTTCTAAGTAACTCTTGTATCTGTCCTCAAGAGTGTGTGAAAAATTTGTTTAAAAACTTTTGGAAAGTGTGAGTGCGAAAAGTTGTTTTGTTTGTTTGAAAAGAGCAAGTACTTAAGAGAAATCTACCTACTTTAAGGAATTAAGTTGTGTAAGAGTCCTTTAGATAATGCTATCCCACCATTGAGAGGTAGGTAGCACCATCGTTGGAGGTGTTCGGGTCAATTCGATTATCGGGACAGTGTGGCCACCAAAGCAATGGTAGGACACCTTAGAAGCAACCCTAATGTCCTAGATCCTTTGTATCCGAGGCAACCGTTTCGAGGCAACTGGATCGAAGCAACTGGATCTTGGACATAAGAGCGACCGCTAAAACTTCCTATACTTGACGACCACGTTTCGAAGGCAACGAGTGAGGCGTACCCTAGAAGTGGTGTGTGCATTGTGTATTGTTTTCATGTTATCAGTTATCTTTTATCATGGCATTGTGAGCTACAAGTTGTTTTTATTTACCATACATTCTTTCATGCATTTAACAGTTAGGGGGTGCGGAAAGTAAATTGTGGAAACATAAATCCTACGCTATTACAAGGCGCGGGTCTATACATCGCCAAAAATACAAAGACCCGTTTTTGGTAAATAAGTACGGAAAGTAAATAAAGCAGTAAAATCCTATTTAACTATTACATTCTTGGAAGCAATTACATAATAATAAACTATGCGCGAATAAAAATTAAATCGGAAATGTCTAAAGGGTGTTGACCCTTTTAGAAAAGAAATTGATTTTTTTGGTACTTTTGGTGATTAAATGAAATTAAAAACTAATTGTTAAGCTAATTAATTAATTTATTAAGAGAAAATATATTTTTTGTGTTTTTGTATTTTTTATGGAATAAAATAAAAAGAAATAAAATTAAAAGTTAATTTTACCTAATTCTAAATCTATTTTAATTTTTAAGAAAAGAAGTTAAAATTGCCTAATTAAACTATTTATTTGTTAATTTTTATTTACAAAAATAATATGAGAATAATAATAATAATAATAATAATAATGTTAATTCTATTTTTTTGATTTTTTTTTATGAAAAATATTAGTTAATTATGTTAATTGTTAATAATAAAAATAAAATAAGGCAAATAATAAAAAAATGAAAATGACAAAAATAAAAAAAGATTAAACCCAAGGGGGGTGTGGGCTGGAATCGGAGGGTGCATTGTTGAATCTTGGCCCATTTGAACCTTCAGCTCGTTTGACCTTTTGGACTGAGTGGAATGCTGTTGACCAAGCACATGGTGTTCTTTCTTTCTGAGCCTTTGGATCTGCACTGATGACACATGGCACGCTGGATGTGTGAGGCTTATGGTGTCCAACACTTGGGAGTCTTCACAAGAACATATTGGAAAAAATAACATTGGAATTATGGGGGACCTGGGAATCGAACCCAGGTCCCAAGGATGCTTAGCCACGTCTCCAGCCACTGAACCACTCATGCGTGTGTGTTAGAATACTGGAAAAGAAATATAATATAAAGTAAACGCATTATATGCTGAAAAACAAAGAAAAG